CTACTATATGATTATAAATTTACCAAACTAAATAAATTTTTCTATAAATTTTAGACAAAATAGATATTATGAAATTTTAAAATTTTGTAATTTATATTTAAGTATTTAGAAACAAAGATTAAAATTTGCAGAGCAAATTTCTAAAAATAGAAGAAATTGTTATATTATGGGTTTATAATATTGTACAAATAGTTTATAGAATAGTATTTTATATATATATATATATTTTTATTTTGGCTATCTTGCTAGTAATCTTTTATTAAGATTATTATACTGTATTATGAGCATTATATAATGTTAAGCTTAATATCTAGACCTGATATCCTGCAATTATTTTGAAAGTACTTACAAGCAACTAGCTATACTGAGCTAATTTTCCTATAAAGAACATTGATAATCTAAGTTAAAATAATCTAAATTAACACCAGAAAACTCATATCAGACTACTGCCCTACAATAAGATACTGTCAATTTGATAATATCTTCTTATAGAAAAGTAAAAAAAAACAAAAAAATCTACTAATACTAATACTAATCCTAAAAAAAGAAAAGAAAAAAGACAGAAACTAATATTAAAAAACAAATACAAAAATAAAAGATAGGTAAAAAAAAAAAAGAAAAAAATTTGATAATCATAATTATAAACTTGTATTAGGCTTTAAAAATTATATATTACAAGATAAAAAAGCTTTGTATCTAAAATATTCTAATAATATATGTATAAGAGTAAAAAAGTTAAAAAAGTTAGCTAAACTAGGTACTATAGTTAATTTAGACAGTTTTGAAAAATTATATATTGATCTTTTGGAGAGGATAAGCTGAGATATTCACTTTTTAACAAAATTTCTTTTAAAAAAAAAGTGGTAGATCAATGAAACTTTTTTGTAGTTGTTTCTTGTAAGTTTTACAGTTATATAGAAATAATCAAAATTTGTAATACTCCTGGTGTTATTCTAGATGTTCTGTATTTCTAAAATATCCTTCTGGTTTAAATGTTGAATAAAAGTAAAGAAGTCTGATAACAAGAACTTGATCTCTACCAAACTAGTTCAAAGTAGACTATACCTTGGTTTTATATTCTTGGTACTTCATCGACAACATATTCTACTTCTGTAGAACCAAGTTTATTATTTACTTTAGTATCTTCTATAATACTGACCGTAGTTCAGTTTCTTGATTTTTGTTGATTAAATAATCATTAAAAAGAGTTGTTATATATATTTTATATTATTATTGAATAGTATTTCATATTATATATTTTATATTTATATTTTATATTAGTTAAATTATATTATTATTTAGATATATTTTAGAATAGAATAGTTAAAAATATATATCACTATATATCATATACTAGTATATACCATATATCAATATATACTATCTGCTATATGGTTGTATATCAATATATACTAATTATATATAATTGTATGTCAGTATATGCTACTTGCTACATAGTATATATCACTTAGTATATACTAGTATATGCCACTTCAACAGATATATAAAGAAAGATTTTTTCTCTTAGTTATTGCAGATATTTTTCTTATAATTTTTATTTTTTTTTGGATATTAGATTGGCTATCTAATATCTGTACTCTTTTTTTCTAATATAAATTATATTATCTGTACTATTTGTATTACTTATACTATCTGTATAACTTATTTGTATAACCTTATTTTTATTTTATTTTTTTCTACTTTGACCATCTCACCAGTATTCCTTTATTAAGTACTTAAATATCAGATAAGACAACAAGGGAACTAAGCCTATCTAATAATTTGAATCCAACACCCTGTAGTTATTTCAAGAGCACTTACAAGTGATCAGCCACACTGAGCAGATTTATCTATATGAATATATCATGATATATTTCATTATAAAAACTCTATCTCTCTCAGAAGGCACAGTCAGACCACCGCCCTACAATAGGATATCACTAATCTGATAACATCTTCTCGTAGAGAAGTAGAAAAATCAAAAAAAAAACACTAATACTAATACTAAAATTAAAAGATAAAGTAAAAAAACAAAATAAATACTAATACTAAAACAAAAACATAGACAAAAGGGGAAAAAAAAACAAAAGGAATCTGACTGGTCATGATTATAAGCCTGTGTCGGGCTTTAAAAAAATTACATCTTACAAAATAAAGAAACTCTGTATCTAACCTTATTCTAAAGATATTTATATAAAAAAAAACACGATAATACATAAAAAAAACAAAGCTAAACTAGTAACTACACTAGAAAGAGTAGCTGAAATCACACTAGTAGCCTTGAAGTATTGTTAACAGATCAATGGTATTCGAGTCACGTTACTCTCACATATTGTCTCAGATCTGCTCTTATTTGTTTTCTAAGCTATATGCGAACTTAATTGCATGACGCACTTCTTCAGACAAATCTGGCCGCACAGGTTACCAGGACTTACTTAAAAAGTAATCACTTTTAACAGGACCTCCTGTTTTGGATAATCAACAATACTGGCTGTTTTAAAAAACTATGTGTCAATCTATTGGAAAAGGTAAACTAAAATGCTCACTTTTTTGACAAAATTTACTTAAAAAAAAAGTGGTAGAGCAACAAGACTTTTTTGTGGTTGTTTCTTGTAAGTTTTATAGTTGTATAAATAGACTAAAGCTTATAATACTCCTAGTATCAACCTAGTCACTCTATGTTCCCAAAATATCCTTTTGGTTTAGATACCAAATATAATAGAGGAGTCAACCAGAAGAAGAGCTTGACCTCTACAAAAACTAGTCCAAAGTAAACTGCATCTTGGTTTTACACTCTTGGTACTTCATCAACAACATACCTACTTGTGTAGGATCAAGATTATTATTTACTTTAATATCTTCTATATCACTAACCATAGTTTGAATTCTTGATTTTTGTTATTCAGATGATCATTGGAAAGAGTTCGATTGACTAAGTCATTGATTTGTATAACTTTATTGCTAAAATAAACTATTCTATATCTGTTAATATTGTTTTATAATTTGAGTATTGCTATAATATTACCAAGATTAAGATTAACAAAATTTAATTATAATAATAGAATAGTATTTAAAAAAGAAGATAATAAGTTTCTTGAGCTAAAATATTATATTTAGTCACTATATATAATATTGCAGATGATGCTGAAAATGGATAATGCTGAAAATCATGTGATCACATGATGATTTTTTGCATAAACAACCTAGCATTACTATCGCCGTTGATGTTAGAGTTAGAGTTAGGATATAGAAGATTTGTTTTTTTATTTTATATATATTATATCTAATTCTACTAGAATAATTAAAATATAGCTATACCCAAACCCTAACTCTAATATTAACAGTGAAATTTTTTAGTTGGTGATGCTAGGGTTCTATAAACACTTTAGGTTTGTTTATTCATTTGTTTATACAGAAGATCATTATTTTATCACATGATTTTCAGATCATCTGTTTTCAGCATCATCTGCGACATATAATAATTTTTGATAACTGAATCACCAGGTCTGCTATTATAAAAAGCTTTATTTAATACTTCTAAAAAATCTTGATTTTACAATTCAGCTTTATTTATATATTTAGAAATATACTGCAAAGCAGCATAAATTGACAAGATAAATTTTAGATCAACATTTGCTTGCTATTTTTGAAGTTGAAAATAGTTATTTTTTGCTATAATTAATTCTATTTGGCTATTTTCATTATATAAAATTGTATGAACTTTTAGCTCTTTTAAAAATTAAATTTTACAAACTTGCTTATCAGTTTGTTTACTAGTTTACAAATAATATAAAATACTACAACATATATATTATTATAATTTATTTATCAATTTGATATAATTCTGCAAATTATTATTAAACTTTTTAAATCTTTTTTAATATAGGTATCTAAATAGTAAAGATGTATTAAGTTCAAAATTAATTGTTGTAATTGAAGAATCTAAATAATACACTGCAACTTCTATTTTTTTTAAACTATTACTTATTTCACTTTATTTAATAATAGATATTTCTTTTCATTTATCAATATTATATATATGGATATTGCTATTCAAAATAATATCACCAATCTAACAATTTCATTTAGATATTAAAATCTTTTTAAAAAGATTTTGATTCACTTTTTAAAAAACTATATGATAATATGTAGATTTTTTATAAGATTATTACAATAATATTTATTAAACTCTTGGTCTGTTTTTTTTTTAATAGAATTTTTTGTATTAGATATAAATCTATAAGTCTGACTAAGCATGACAGAAGTTCTATCCTATTGGCGCAAATATGCAACCTGCAGATCCTGATTTTTTGGATTATGATTGGCCAGTTTAATTATATATAAAAATTTTTACAAGAAATTTTTTTTTTTGGTCATAATCAAGTTTTAGTTTCGCATAGTCAAGGTTTTGCAGTGAGGTAAATTTAATTAATGCAAAGTTTGTTTAATTAAAATTCACCATGCTTTAAATTTTACTTTGATCAAAAAGTTTACTGTGTGTCGTGATTTTTGTGGTTAAAGCTTCACCTTATTCACCATCGTTCAAGTTTTACTACCGCCGTTGTCAAAGTTTTGCTAGGATCAAAACTTCGCTGTGATCAAAGTTTTGCCGGTCCTGTTTCTGTTGTCCGTATCGCCGTGGTGGTAAAAGAATAAAAAAAAAAAAAGAGGGAAAAAGAAAAAAAAAGAAAAAATGGAAAAAAAAAATCGTGGCCCCTGTTCTGTAATTAATTGTACACTTACCTGTGGTAGGTTTTGTACAATTACAGAGCTTGCATATAAGAAATGTCATGAGAAAGGAATGCTGGAATCATATTCTTATCTTGAGATCGGGCAGCAACTTTGCTACCAGCACTATTGTAATATCGTAGAGGTTGACAGAGGCCAAGAAAAACATAAACTAAAAGTAAAACAAATGGATCATCGAAAGAAGAACCAGGCCCAGGCTTCCCAATCCCAAATTCAGCAACTACCCCAGGCCCAGGCTTCCCAATCCCAAATCAAGCAACTACCCTGGGCCCAACAGCAGACTTCTCAAATGCAGATTCAACCTCTTCAGGTTCAATAGCAAGTTCTTCAAATGCAGATGCAACTATCCCAGGCCCAACAATTCCTCCAAACGTAGCAGCAACCATTGCCTAACATATTAAGACCGATTGAATCTCAATTAAATAATTGTAATTTATTTTTTTTGGCTGGAATTTTTTTTTTTTTTCTTTAACATTAATATAATTTTTTTTTTTTTATTAAACTTAAACTAGTAGATTCTACATTCGCATCAAATATACAAGCTCTAACGAAAGTATTGTATCATCAGCAACGTCGCGAAGGTGCTAGTTTGCAATTGGATCCAATAAAATTTGATCGTATGATTGAAGATTCTAACCTACAACTTAAGGGCTGTTTTAATTATATGGTGAATATGATAATTTCTAAAGAACGTTCAACCTATAGTATAAATGAAGCAAAAAAGTCAATAGTCGGGTTATGTTACACGATAGCGAGTTTACGAAATAAATTTGTTAACCAACACAAAATTGAAGTTGAATTATACTTAATAGCGTCAGGAGCTACGTGAGAAGCTATCGATATGATGTCAAGTATAGGGTATTCCGCATGCGCTAAAATAGTGGAGGAATTCCGAAATAATATTAAAAAAAACATACAGTGAACATCGAAGAATATTTTTTAGAAAATGTAAATATTGAATTGTTAGTTAATAAAAGTTGAACTATTTTAAAATGTATTTTAAAATGTATATTAATATTTTTCTTATTAGAAAAATATTTTTCATGTTTATAACATTGACGACTATCACGCTATTCACGAAAACTGAAGGCCAGACACAGTATCAACATCAACAGCGAATCATTTTGCAACTTGCATTGCAAAACCTATTGATCATCAATCTTTACCGGTTATCTATAATGGACATCAATTCATAATCCGGAAAACATTGAAGCGTCAAGAATTTGCTGATATTTAATTCATCGATATACTGGAACATTTGATGTTTTATATTTAGAATGTCAGTGGATTGCTCAAATAAATCAAACCGTCAACAAATTTGATCGGATTGAAACTTTGACGTTACATAGTTACAACGATCGTATTGCAGAACGAAAAGAGGAACGTTCAATGAATGGGCTTCGTTTAATTGGATTTAAAGAGCAACACTTACATTCAGTACAAGACTACCTTAATGTTTTAAAGCTCATTTTAACAATAAATAGAAATGTGCATCATTTAGATAATCGAGTTGTACCAGTTATTGCTGACTGGCCTGGTCAGCTCTTTATTCAAAAGGCATTATATTCCAAAACATTATCCCCACATATTGAATCATTTATACCCATATTGGGTCCCCTATATTTGTCACTAAACAGCCGAGAACAGGTTTATTGGTGCACCATTTATTTTTTGAAAGGTTATTCCACTTTGTGTTTGGTGAACATAAGACGTTGGCAAAGAAGCCTCGCCCGTGGAGGATTAATCTACTTTTAGAACTAGCATACTGCGGCTAGATTAAAGTTAAGGATAAAATTATGAATAAGTTTGGTCAAACCTGTAAAGATGTTGAATATCGGACCGCAATCGACCTGCTTGATAATTTGGTTCCCACAACGCTTGACGTTTATGCCATTTTATTTCGAGGAGGATTGTTTAATGAGTATGTGGAGTCAGTTTTCCGTATCTAGACCTTCGCCCTGCGTTGGAAAAGAAAAAACTACAGTAAGGCATCCCTTATTTTTTTATCAGACCTATTCTATTGGAAAGATACCAATAATCCTCTTTTCTATGTAATTCAGGATCATTTA